GGGTTAGTTGTGTTGTGTCAATATCATTATTTTTTAAATAATTAAGAATCTCATCTAGCTCATTTGGTATTGTTGGTTTCGTTAGTGGGGTGTTTGTCAAGTTGGTTTCTTCTATAGTGTTGGTTCGGATTTTTATCCAGGAGTCAGAAATATGGTAGAAGTAGTAGGACTCTCTCAGTAATTTGGCTACCTCAGTTAGGGTTTTTGTTGAAGTGATAGGTGTTAAAATACTGTAGTCTGTAATTTGCTCTGGGTCTTCAGAAAGTTCGGGCTTTTCAGTAGGATTAGCTGTCATTATTTCAGGAGATAGTGGAAGATTAACTTTGTAGTTCTGTTCGATGTCCAGAATGAATTTCATGGCATCCTGCTTGTCTTCGATTGGGAACGTATAAGTCTTCATAGTTTTGATCTTGTTTGGATCCTTGGGAAGAGGAAGTTTTGCTTAGTAGTAGTCATTAGGTAAGTTTTTAAAGGTGTATTCTTCTCGTAATGCTTCGATAATTCTTTGAGAGTTGCCATGGTAGTCATTTGGATCAAGTGAGAAGTAGCTTCTATGTTTAGGACTAAGATCTTGGTATGCTAAGAGCAGATGAGTCTTTGGTGGTGGCAAGTCAAAGTAGTTAGATAGGATTGTTTTGACTTCATAGTATTGGCTAAGTTTTCTTTTGTATTCGCCTAGGTCTCTAAGGCATTTTCTATCAGTAATTGGAAATAGAACTCTTACTGCAGGGTGAAGATTGGCCAAATTTGTTAGAAGAGAGTTCAGGTTTGCGAAGTATTCCTCAGGTAGCTGATCAAATTGGTAAATGCGATGAAGTGCTGTGACTACTGCTTTAGTGTGGGCTTTGTTTTTTATAGATAAAGTGAAAGGTAACATTTGTTGTATGTTTTCAGAAATATCATCTGGGTGACTAGGTAGTTGTAGAAGTTTGCCTGAAAGGGCTTCTTGGACTGCTTTTTAGATGTTCTCGTGTTTATTTAGCTCTGTGTCTTTTGTAAAACCTTTGTAATATTTGATAAGTTGTGTGATGTATCTAGAAGGATAGGTATTGAAGTTTGTGTTTGTTATATGATCAAGAAATAATTTTTGTCATAATTTCTGGTGAATGATGTCTATTGTTTCTCTATTGGTTATTGTGATCTGGTTGGCTTTTTTATAATTTTGTAAGGCATTGTGAAACATCTCTTCATACTCAGTTTGGTGTTGTGGAATAAAGCGCTTGGCTCTAGTAAAGGTAAGGAAGAATGTTCTGTCGAGGTGTTTAAATTTGGCAAGAATACCTGGGGGAATTTGTTTTAGAGTAGGTTTAGTTGCGATTTTGTATTTGATAAATTTTTGTAGACTGTCGCTAGATTGAAAACTAGTAATCAATTTATCATAGTGCCATATGTTGTCATCAAAGGGCTGTGTGATTTCTTTTGTTAGTTCTTTGTGTATATGTTCTAACCATTTTTGGGTTGGGTCCTCGTCTATTTGCATTGTGTTGTTTATCAGGTTTTGTTTAGTTATTTGGCTGTATAAGTGTATTGGAACTTTCTTGCTGTGCAAATATAGTTGAGGCTGTGTCAGTTTCCATTTTGTTGTCAGTTTGTGTATTTTCTAATTCAGTAATAGGGGTAGTCATTTCAGTATCTACAAGGTTTTCCTGTTGGGTGATGTCCAGATTGGGCTGAGAAGGGCCTGCTGCAGGTCCTGTATTATGTATTGCTATTGCTATATTGTTGTTGTTGATCGGGGGTCTAAGAGTAGCATTGTTGTTGGGGTGAGGTATATTGCCTAATATGGTAATATTGGGGTTGTTGTTGTGGGAAATAATTGTTGTGTTGTTGTTTTTTTCTGAGGACTCTGTTTGGATGTTGTTAAAACCTGTTTGGATGAGTTGGTTGTTGTTGTTGTTATAGTGTGATGATGTCATAATGGTTTTTGGAGGGGGTAAGCTGGATTGCCCACTTTTGGTGTTTGAGTGTAGTCTTGGAAGAAGAGTGCGTCATCTCTTGGAGTTTGTGTCAGTGTAGGTGGAGTCTAGTTTGACTGAAGCAGTCTTTTTGCCCTTTTTGTTTCGATTACTACTGTTGTGTTCGCTCATTTGGAGTTGAGGTTGAATAGTAAGAGTAAATGATACAAAGCGGCTCTTAGGCCGGGTGTTTTCTTTGTTGTCGGTTGGGTGGTTCTTGTTGCTTTGTTTTCTCTTAATTTTGATTACTTAGGAGTGTATACTAGTGGTGTATAGATGTTGTTTTGTCTTCTTGACTATGTATTTAGTTACTTATTTAGTTGCTTTTAGAATTTTTGTTGTATCGATTTTTATTGTCTATTAAAATTGGAATCTACGGAAAAGAGTTTTTTTTGCAAAATTTTTAAATTTGATTATTATATAAAATTTGTTCAATATAATAAATTATATATAATTCTAAATTTTTAAAAACTTTTAAAAAATTTTAATCTAAATATTATTACTAAATATAAAAGCTAAATTATTCAATTTAAAATTAACAAATTGCTAAAAACAATAATTTTTATTATTTTTAATAATTTTATGAATATTTTTTTAAAAAATCTAAAAATCTCAGAATATGTGTATTTTTTTATGCTGAACAAATTTTACTTAATAAATAGGCTTAGTTTACTTAATAAAAAATTAAGTTTAATATGTACTAAAAATTAAAATTGATATTTATACTAAACCTTTATTAAAAAGTGGATTTTAGTATGAATAAAAAAATTCTAAAATTTTTTAAACTTAATTATTTCAAAAAGTACTGTATAGAATTTTGTATTTTTTTTTTATTTGAAAGCTTAAGATTTGAATAATATTTTATATAATTTTTAGCTCTATATCTTGTTTATTTAGTTCAATATAAATTTTCAAAAAGTGTCCACAATAATATGCTACTCCCTGTATAAAACCATTCTTTACAGTCTAACAAAAAAATTTTTTACAAAATTTTAATATAAACTAGTCCTTTCCTATTTTTAGCCTCATCCTAATCTTAACTTTAATTGCAAAATTTATTTTTATAAAAAAAAATTGGTTTAATTTTTTTTTTTTTAAATGTTAAGGTGATTATTTTGGGGTCTGGCCTTTGTTACATTAACGAGGATACATTCTAGCCATATGTACAACTTTTGGTTGTCTATTTAAGCAGTCTTGCATATGTAACCTATATGAATTACACTAGATGCCGTATCTGTAACCCACTATTACTTGAGTTATCTAATTAAACCCTCTGATCAATTTAGTGTCGTCAGAATATTCTCCCTAAAGAGGAACTGCCATGTAAGCCCCTTAGGACTTTAAAGCAGACATACACTACTATATAGGTGGGTCCTTTATTCTTGTGGTAAGCCTACCAGAATGGTCTATGTCTCATACATGTATTATCTAGATTTTCAGTAACTTATGCCTAGGCTACAGCCAAATACTTGCAGCTTTTTATTTCTACTACTATTATCTACTCTGTGCCCTTGCAAAGTTCACCCAAACCCTAGCACCCACTTTACAGACTATCAACAGTACTTCGATGCCACCATTGATGTCTTAAACTTTCAATTCAGATGGCCTGGGAAGGACCAGTGGGCATCTCCTGGTATTTTGAATAAATCCTTTTTCTTCTGGTTAGTCTGGCAGCCTGGTTGGTATAGTGCTTGCTAAATACTCGGTTCTTATTTAGTTTGCCTTCGGTATCAGGTTCCCCAGATGATAATCTTTTATATAGCACCATTAAAGATCTGTACTATCTCTCTACTCGGGACTTCCCAAGTAGGCTTTCGTATTCTCTGATTCCTTGGATTTATTTGGCTGCTTCACTCAGATTTCATGTAACTCATGCATTACACTACATTTTACAACCTCCCAATATGAGTTGGTGAGACCAAGGTTACAGGTGCTGACCCAATCGACATGTCATACAGTTTTACTGTAACACATTTCTGCAAATTCGAATTTCGTCGCCAGTGGGATTTAAACTCTTGTCCTGCTGCTTGGGGGTGCGACAACTTACCAACTACACTAAGTCACCACACCCAAAAATTGGTTTAATAATTACATTACACCTAATCTTAATTATGGTTACTGTAATCTATAGTTACAAAACACTTAATTCTTATATATATATAGTAACTTTATCTTTAATTATATTATTTTACCAAATATTCTCATAATCACTACAGTAAATATACCTTTATTAATATCTTTATAAATAAGATCAATATCTTATATAAAAATAGAATCTTATACTATATGCAAACTACTTAAATAGGCAACCAAAGGTTGTATGTGTGGCTAGTTGTATTTTCTAATATAAAAGAAGGCTCTATTGATGTTAATGCTATGAGCCTTCCCATCTAAACTTGAATAAAAATCTTAGTCCAAAGAGGCTAGTTAATAAAAAAAAAAATTTAAAATAAATAAAAATAGAATCTTTAGCAACAATTTTTTTAATTAAAATTAAAAACTAAAATTTAAAAAAAATTTAAAAACTAAAAAAATTAAGATTGTGCTTTGGGGTATTTCCCGGATCTAAGGGCTAGACAACTAAAAACTGAATTTTTAAAAAAACTTAAAACAAAAAACTTAAAACTATGCTCCCAAAAAACTAAAATTAACACCCCAGGTATTACCTAAGCCTGAGAGATAAAAAATTAAAAAACTAAAAATTAAAAAAAAACTTAAAAATTAAATAAATTTAAAATTTTATTTTTAGAATTTAAAAGCTAAAAATTAAAAAACTAAAATTTAAAAAAACCTAAAAACTAGAAAAAATTAAGACTGCGCTCCCGGGGCATCGCCCGGGCCTGAGAGCTAGTCTTTAATAAGTTTGGACCTAATAATAATATAAATTTTATAAAGTGATTATAGCTAGTGTGACTATAACGAGTTTTGTAAAGATAAATCGTAAGCAAACTTCAAAATTTATATTTCAGGCTTTAATTCCACCTTGATATCCAAGTATACTTCCACTAAATCATATAATTATATTGTTAATATTTTTCTCTCTTTCTAGAAAATTAAAGGATTATTGTAAATTTTGGCATATTTGCCTAATGCCCAAATTGTAAAAATAAATTTATAATTTGGATAACTAATTGCACAATTCTTGTTAAATACTCCTTCTATAGCCTCCTGCTTCCATTCACCTGTTGGCAATTGTCGCGATGCGATAAGCTATAAACAAGTCGATTTTGATAAAGATTTAAGTACTAATTTAATTATATAATAGAAATAAGAACGTAGCTTTTTGTAACATCGATATATACCTGAATACCACGTCGAATTGGTTCCTCATTTGGATATTTACCTGCCATTAAAGCAAGCAATGCCCAAGCAGTATTTACAACTTGTGAGTTTTCATGGTGTATATAAGCCATTTCTTCACATGACTATTTATAAAGCAAATAAATAAATAATTTTGAATCTAATAAATATAATAAAAACTTTAAATACAATGATATAAACCTTATAGGATTCACCCCAACCACCATCATCCATTTGTTTAGAAATCAAGAAGTCGCATCCTTTTTTAACTACCTCACTAATTGATAAAATTATTTAGTCAATTGATTTATTTTCCATGATGCAAGATTAATTAATGCGTTTAAAAATACATATAATACCTATTTTCATATGTTTCACCAAAACTTTCAAGACATTGAATAGTAAACATGGCAGCATATGTATAACAAATAGCCCAAGAACCATACCAGCCTCCATTTTCATCTTGAGAATTATGTAAGTATGCAATTGCTTTTTTGGTAATTTGCCTAGCATCAAAAAAGAAATTTAATATATAAAACAATTGTAAGCTTAATAAGATTTATAAAAAATTATTACTTAATTTCATCAGCTCTATAATCAGGATACCATTTCTGGAAAGTATTTAGAGCTGTTAAAACACAAGATGTACATTCTGGATAACTATATTCAATCATAATATTTCCAAAAACTTCTGCAGGATTTAACCATTCAAGAATTTTTAGACCTCTAGTACGCTCATAACTAGCAAATCCTCCATCAGTATTTTGCATAGATAATAATATATCAATGGTCTGACAAAATCGTTCTTTAGATAATAAATCTGGTGTATAACTAATTTTTTTTATCAAATATTAAAAATAAACATGATTTTTTCAATGGTTGGTTTCAAACATCAAATTTTGACTCAAAAAACATACCTAAAATTTTTTTGAAGACCAAGTACAGCTTTGATACCTAAACTAGCACAATCTGAAACATTATATCCCTGTTCACGAGTACTAAAACCCCAAGCACCTAATGTGTTCTCACGATAACATCTTTTATTATCTTTGGGATTCTTTTTTATTTGTGCATTATTTAAAAATTCGAGCGCATGTATCATTGATTGGTGATTTGAAGGATCATCTGCCAGTCCTATTAAAGAGAACAAGTTTAAATAATTGAAATTCCGAATTTGATAAAAACGTAATTACTACCTGCTTCAATTACGGCAAGGACTGCAAGCGCAGTGTCCCAAACTTGAGTACCATTTGTACCACTCATCATCATTCCTTCTGGACCTAGCCTAAACCAAATAGTAAACTTTAATATCAACTTAAATAAATTTAAAAATAACTTAAAGAAACTATGATTTTCATACCACATATAATCAATTAATCTTTCTTTGGCAAGCTTGAATGCTTCAGAATCTGGCCCTTCCTCATAGTATGTACAAAGAATATGTATTACTTTGTTAACCTAACAATTTAAACAAATTCTCAATATTGGAGATTGTGAATAAAATAAAATAACAATAAAAAGCCTATGTTTACAGGTGCAATATCAAGATAACCAGTATTTTCATCTTCATATTTAATTAATTCATAACTCTCTTTAATAGAAATATCTCGAATTCCAAGTAAATTAGGAAGTTTTTCATAAAGATTTAATATAACTAAATAACAATGTATTAGATCCTCAATAACAATTACTAAAGAATGAATAAATTATAAAAAGTAAATATACAATTGCAAAACTTTAATGTTTTGGTATGCGGAACATAAAGATCA